CCTGCTGAAGTTTGAAAACTCACATTTTAATTGAAATTTAGATAAAAATAACACATTAGGTACATTGTTCATGCTAACAAACGTACATAGTGGTGACTCAAGAACAGAAAAACAGTACCACAAATAAACCATGGCTCAAAACCTACTCTAGTGGGATTGCCACAGCCGCTCTCCCTGTATGAGGCAGCTGTGGTGTACGCGTTGCTGCTGCGCTCTGCTTTTGGTGGGCTTGGTCCTTCTCTGAGGTAGGCACCAGTGCCCGCTGCGTTCAGGGAAGGCTTGAGCTCCTCTCTGTTTACCACTAGGATGTGACACAGGTACTCTGATGTGGGATGACAATGCAAAATGGAAATGATTTGGCTGAAAAAAAATCTCAGAATCGAGAGAACTTTATTGAGTAACATAGATACAAAGGTGACACAAACAACCCAGAAACAGCTCAGTAGCAACGTTTCTTGCAGTGCCACATTATAAATAACGCACATGAAGAAACCCTGCTGAGCCTTTTCAGCTTTTAGAATGTATATTGCCAGATGGACACAGCTTCACATTTGAATTGTCTGTATTATATAGATCTGAGCATTTCAAATCCATCTAGAAGTGATTTTTGTTAAATCTTTAAGCTGCTGATACTACTGTTGTATTAATCTTCAAAATCAGTGATTCTATTGCATTACTCTATGCTTTAGTGTGTCCACACCACCAAACTACAATAAAATAAAAAGTAAATGGCACTTTACAGAATACAAGTTTACGAAGTCAATCAAACCACAGATGTTTGAAGAATTCTTCAATACCACAAAAACAAAGTTATACTGAAGTAATGGGCACACAGGTTTTAAAGAATCCACAGCAAATTCTAGGTCCTATGCAGTGCATGTACATTAAGAAGCAGTTACACTCCGCAGCCCTCTCATAAAATTAGTTCAATTAGCTTCAAGCTGATTTCTTTTTTTTTTGTTTGTGTTTTGTGTGTTTTTTTGCAAAGTATCTTTGAAAGCTACTGCTGAGGTGAACTTCAGGAACAACTTGAAACAGCTGTCAAATTTCTGTCAAATTTAATGACTGCACCCTACACCTGAAAAAACCTTATCCAGGGGAAAAAAATCTGCAATAATAATGTCATCTTATCACTTGCTAGAAAAACAGAACCCTGAGAAAAGAAATTCTGATTTTTTTTTTTCTGTATTTCTTCTCAGCCTGTCTTCTATCTGTGCTATGTGATGAACATGGATATTCTTGCAAGTTGGTTGATTATATTATTGCAGAGCAAGTTGATAGTAGACCAGCAATAGGCAGAAAAGCTGGTTCTCCTTGATTACAAATGCAAACAAAAGCAAAACATGCCACTGAAAATACCGCCTTCGTACTTAAAAACTGCACTATTAAATTTTTTAAGCATTCTGTAGCTCACAGCAGAGTTTAACCAGTAATGTAAATGAAGGTCGGTCATTGTATACGTCTAAGGCAAAGCAGTGTATCCCCTCTATACCTTTTGGAAGAACTGACCTTATTCTGACTGATCAAGTGCTCCAGCCAAAGCAGCATTTGTCACCCCAATATAGTGTCATAAGATTTGTTGGCAGTGGCAACGTGGACATTGGACTGCTACCCACCTACGAAAAGCTAAAACTGTGACTCTATTTTGTAATTAATTTTTAGCTGAGTTATACTCTGCTCTTACTCTTCCTAGCCCTCCGTGCTGAGAGGCAGAGCCGAGAAGAGCAGCGCCAAGCGGGTGGCCCAGGGGGTGGTTTGCACAGCGCCTGAGGTGTGCGTGCCCTGCCTATGGCATGTTTGTGTGCACAGGGAGAACACGGAGAAACATGCAGGTGTGGACAGGACGTGCTGCCTGTGATTTGCGTCCTCAGACACCACTTTGTGCTAGTAATTTTGATTTGTTAAAATCTTGCTTTGTGCAAGCAGGTGGCAGAAATGGTTCCAGACCATAACTTCTGGGCTTTTTTTAAATTAAATATTTAAAAGACGAGTGAAATACCTGTTTTAAACTAGAATACGGTGGATGTGGGTTGCAGGAGCGGGTGAATGCAAGAAGAGGGCAGATTTAAACAATCCCCTTTTAGTATTGGCAGACGTGAACCTTGTTTGTTGCACGGCAGCTCAGAGATCACCTCCGTGTCCATCCGTCATGTGGCTTGAAGGTACTGTGGGCACAGGCCCGTGCCGCGCTGGGCCTGCTGTGCTCCAGCCAGGCCGGCTGCTGCCGGGGTGCTCCCACACTGCAGCTGCCAGCCCTTACCCCTGCTCATGGCTGGCCCAGGGTTTGCAGTCATCACTGCCAAATAGTTCTTGGATCGCGAAGGACTTCAGCAGTGTATTGAAATTAGCTCGCTACCTGTGCACTAACAACGACTTTTTAACACCTGTAAATAACTAATGGCACATGTTAAGGGACTGACCAGGCGTAAACAAGAGTCTCTGCTCTGTATTATACAGTTAAGTGATGGAGAGAAACACTGTCACTGGATGAGGTTAAACTACCACGAAGGAAGACGAGTCATCTGAAATTCCCTTAGTATTCCTTAGAACTACTTCTCTGATAAATTCTCCCAAATACTTCTATGGCACAGCTGCATCATTCCTTTGTTTTTTAAAATACCTTTTAAATTTGTTTTCAGAAGTAGTTCTAGTAAGTGATGCAACACCACACGTAATACAACCAACTGCCTTTGAGAAAGGAATGTCATTTGTGGCAAGGTCTGTTTTATTTCTGCTGATTTAGTTGGAAAAGGAGCCATAGCACATGTGGTTCGGGAAAAAAAAAAAAAAGGAAACAATCTTCCCAGCCATGTAGAATTTGGCAAGGCTTCCTGACAAATGTAAAGTTCTTAAGGACTCATGTGGCTCTGGGTCATGAGACAGACTGATCTGTAAACCAGGAATGAGGTTTCACTGGCAAGAGAAAGAATAATACTGTTAAAGTCCAATGTGCGATCTACATTTTCAGGAGAGGCTACTGTCCAGGCCAGGCTGTTGACATTCACAAGATAATGCCCAGCTGTGCTGTGGGGAGTTGTCATCTGCTTGGGATTTCAGAGTTTTAATAAAGGCTGTAGAAATATTTCTAACAATGGTCATTTCAAACAATTTTATCAGAATCAGGTGGAAGCCAGCATAACAACAGCTGCTCTGTCTAGTCAATGGAAACAAAATCATCTACCTGCTGAATAACAAGCGGCACACACCTTGCACTGCAAGTTTCAAGACAAAGAAACCTGGCAGGGACTCAACTTTTTAAATGCTTAAAGATGGGTGTAAACTGTGTCACGTCAACTTTGCTCTCTCCAACATACACTTACTAACTGAGAAGGCACTGTACTTTAAGGAAAGTTCAGTATCAAAAAGCACCTCAATGAAAAGTATGGTACCAAACCAGGTGGTGGTGACATATTCACACGTGAGGGGAGCCCTTGGAAACAAAGCCTAACTAAAATAGGCTTCTCTTTTGTATAAGGAAAAAAATAATGTGCTGGCTTTTATAAGTTACACATTCCTTCTATGTACACAATTGCTCACCTCCCCAGTCAGATTAATGTATCCTACTGTGTCCTGATCATAGAATGAAACTAAAAAAATCCCCAAGTATTTACATTCTGCTTTCTTGGCATCCTTTTTCTGATCCCCATTGCCCACCAAGAAAGAAAAAACATTTCAGTAGTTCATGGCTGGAATGCATGAGGCTCAATCACACAAATGGTAGAATCAGGTAAGCGGGTCTGCTTGTCCAGTCAATGGAAAGCAGACTGAGATCCAGGCGCTGGTGGTTGTCCCCACTGGAGTTAAAGGAGGCAGATAAGGTTTTTTCCTTCTTCTATTTCTTCTTGTACTTTGTCACTCGATGTGGCTATTTCAGCTTGCGCCGAGAAGACTGCACAGATGAACGTCAGAATAGTGCCACCGATAGCTGTGTAGAAAGCCCAGCCCAAGGAGCAGTCTCCTAGTTTGTAAGCAGAAGCGTAAGGTCCACAATAGCTTATTGCTTTCTGGCATCCCCAACCTGCAGGGTAAAGTATCAAGCCTAAGATAAGGAAGAGGCCTAGAAATAAAAACAAAAAATGAGTTTAACAAATGATCAGCTGAACACCAAACGCAAGACACAGAGTAATGGTTATCATGGTCGCTACTCACTCCTAAGTACCAGGATTATGACTCTTCCTCATTCATCCAACCTTCCTTTACTGATTGTTCCCTAGTATACACCGTGCAGTGTTTTATCTAAACTTGGAGCTATCCTGTGGTTTTTCTTGTGAAAGGCTTATCTCGTATGATAATGGCCTCGTTCCTAATTTTAATCTCTGTATTCCTCCTACATCCTTTGTTTTCACACGTTATTGCTAGGCACACAGAGCCTGCAAAACATTTGAGCATCTTTGCCTATTGTTTACACTTGCACTTTTCAAATACTTAGGAATGTTTGCATCCACTTTTGTGTGTGTTTAACTAGCCCTCATTCAGGTTTATTGGGTCATTCATCATAAACATTTTTGCCTTTTTTCCTCTGGATTTTTCCTACATTAATTTTCTCTCACACTGCATCTGCTTATTTGGCCACATTACGATGCAGAATAAAAATAATACTGCCAGTTCAGTAAGCTGCCTTCATAACGAAGGGATTCTGGAGTCAGGCTCCCAAACGAACAGATCTGAGTACACACAGCCAGTGCATAGGTAACACTGGAGTCCTCTAAACAGGGGGTCAACTGCTGCAGAGGGAAAGCACATTCCTAGTGATGCAGCAGCAAGTCTCACCTCCCCGCCTTCCTCAACAGCCCAAACACCCTGCTGTGCCTCAGGCTGGAAGCAGAAAGCTCAGACTAGATGTTTTGCCCATCTGATCGTCTCTCATAGTCATATTTTTTTCTCCTACGAGGACCGATCTTTATCTAAGCAGTGAAAAGTCACGTTAAGAATCCCTGCACACATGATGTGTCTTTGCACAAGGACGAGAGACTTTGCACAAAGACGAGAGATTTAATCAAAACACCTAATCTGCTAGTGGCTACAGTGCTACAGTGCTTTCTTACGGGCCCTGCTAAAAAAATCACAGTGAGTTAAAACGAGACCTTCCTCCTACAAGGTATGTATGAATGAGCTAAACATCAGGACAGCTCATAGCTATCCAAATTTGCTGTCTGTTTTCTTTAAAACTTAGAAGAACAGGAAGAACTACGAAAAATACTTCTTGCTTAAACGCAACCAGTTTATCCAGAAAATTAATACAGCCTTCCAGATCCTGTATTACTCCTTTATTTGTCCTGCACTGTTAAGCCCTTTATTCAACCTTGCACCCTGATGAAAATAGCTGGTAAAGGTGCTGTCACCTTCTAGAAGTGCGCTGAAAGTTGTGCTTTTTACGTATGGTGCTGGTTCATCCATTAGATTTCATCTAATACCAAAATTTCTACTGAGTAGTAAAATAGAAAACGGTCCTCTTTTCTTCCCTATACTAAGAGATTACCAAGAACAGCTGTAAAGACTTGTGTGCATGTTCTTAAATTCAGTTAGACTAGCCTGTTCTGCAGTACGTTAGGTTTCCTTAATTGTTTGTTTAAAGAAATACGGCCAGTGCAAGAAAACTTCCTCACTGAGAAAGAAAAGCTGGGTCCTAGTTAGTAAGCAGTTAATAGGAACAAAATCAAAACCCATCATCCAACTGTCTAAAATTAATGTCTATGAATGCCAGACATTTCACAAAAGAAAGTCCTTCCTCCAGTGTTTTTCTAACGATGACAGAACTCCACGGGCATGAATGAACTAAATGTCATTATTCTTTGGGGCGGCAAAATCCGTTAGCGAGTGATATCCGTTCTCTGTGAAGGGATTTCACCACTGCTTACATTTAAGAACCAATGACAAATTTTATGCAGTGTTTCCTGGCTGATTGGCCAAACTACATTAAGTATAAAGTATTGCTTTGTCTTGGACAGACCTGGATAAGCTGTGCTTTCATCCTGCTGAGCCCTGCAGCCGTTTCAGACTAAACACCAGCAGTTCCTTCTCCTTTATACATCACTAGTTTCCTGTTCTGTGTAACCGGCGTGACCACACTATGTATTTTTCTGAGTGTGCATTGGTATGGATCAGTTGCCATTTTCCCTAATGATCACAAGCCCTTTGGTAGTTAAAAATCACCATCACTGAATTAAGAAGCCGGATCTGAAATGCCAGTGTAGCTGCTGCCAGCAAGGAAGTTTTTAAAGTTTAGCACTCCACCATTCACAGACCTAGAGAGCTTGTGTTTTACAGCAAACCCGGCTTACGGCTGAGTCACAAGCAGGACCACGAAGCTACATCCATCTCCTTTCACCAAAACTAGAGCACTGAACAACCCCTGAAAGCTACTAGTTCATGGTATGTATGTCCCACACTGAAAAGCCGCTACCCAAAATTCTGCCCCCCAAAAGACTGCAGCACTGCTGTCAAGTGTAATCATCAGGACTTTACTGAAATAAAACTTTTTTTAAAGTACAGAAAGTTCCTAGAGAAATACAGACTACAGCCCGTAATTTGATACATTACAGCTGTTTTCTCATGGATGAAAACAAAATTCGGAGAAAAGTCTTAATTATGGACTTGAATACAGTCAGAGTCTCACCTGATTCTTCCTTCAGATAGCTAACTTTGTGAATCCTATACTGGCCTAGCACAAGAAAAGGAAAAAAAGAGCGTTTTCACTACCGAACCTACCTTCCGCTACTCCATTTCAATGCAGACAGAAAGCTTCTCAGGACATATACCTCTTCTCACTAATATTTATCATCATTTCTCATTTCATGAATACCTGGTTCCTACTTGCTAGGAAGAGTGAATAAAGATGATTCACTTAAGGCAATTCAACACACCCGCAACACAAACAGCACTCCTTGGATTTCACGCTGACTAACAGCAAGTGGAAAGGGACAGACTCCTCATCATGCGTTCGCCTCAAAGTTCCAATACTCAGGCCAACGTCTGAGCTGCGCAGCATGGAGAGATCCCTTCCTGACTCTCCCTACCTGCCCAAACAGAGGTGCTCATGCAAAAAGATCAAGAGGAGCTTTGCCTCCTGATTCCCAGTAACTACAAAAGAGACGGTCACAGGCTACAGAGCTCACCTCAATGCTTTATCGCCCACGAACAGAGCAAACCATGGGCTAAAGCAGGAGCCAGCAATCCAGAGCAGCAGCTTCCAGAGACAGCTGAAAAAGAACCACCTCTCTGCTCCTGGGAACATGGATGCAGAGGGAAGAAAAAATGCCAACGTGGAAAGAACAAGGTAAGATATGGCAGGGTTAGCAAAAGCAGAAGAGGTTGTGATACTGTTGGAAAGTCATAGTCTGCTTTTTAACAGGCAAAATGGTTAAACACTACACGAATAGCTCGGCAGTCTCTGTGCTCTTCCACCTTTGACCTAAGCAGCACTGCACAACCATTTTACGCAACACAAAAAGCCAGAGGGCTGTTTCTACAGCTAACAGTGTAGCCTTGATTTACAGATGTGCAAGCAGCTGCAGCTGAGCAAAAACCACTTACACGCCAGTGTGTGGCGAGACGATCCACACGGGCAAAAAGCATGGTAAATTCTCAGCTCATACCAGTGTCCAGAGGGCAGAGCCTGACCAGGTCGCTTACATTTCCTTGCTTCTTTGATAGAAGTTTCAGCTAAAGTGCCTACATCCCTGCCTTTCTCTTGCTGCTGCTTAGTCCCTGGGGCTCGCCTACCTGCAGCTCTCTCGTTTCAGTCATTTATTTGCGTTACCACAGAACCTGGCAGCTCTGCTCACACTTTCTGCCCCCAACAGCTGACAATCTGCTTTTCAGACAAGACCCACAGAGATGGAGTGCAAGGCACAAGTGAGGTAACCCCGAACACCACAGCGGCAACAGCCTCAACAAATCCACAGCCTGACGGTTACCAAATTTTTCTTTTGCAGCCTCTGAAGACAGTCTTCAGAAAAATGTCAAAGGAAGAGAAAGGCGTTTTCAGTTGTCTGTGGACAGCACAAAGCAGCATGGGTGCACATGGTTTTGTCTTCCGCAGAGTCCCTGAGGGGCAGGTGGAGGAGGGTGCCTGATGGGCTGCACGGAGGCAGGAGCAAAGTACCTTGCCTGTGAATTAAAGACGGGAGAGATCGTAGCCTGGAGCTTACAAGGGGCTGGAAAGGTGAGCCAGCGCCTTATCCCTGGCATTCATTTATAGTCACAGCACACAGAAACACAAGACCAGCTCCTAGTACAATCTACTGATATGTGTGTAAAAGTGGCTCTCTGGATTGATTAACTATTGTAATTCTCAGGTTTCTCAAATTTGATTCAGTTATTCTTACACTTTACTCACTCAAATATTACTTCTGCATTTAATCTGGATTGTGTGGCTTTCAAAGCCATTTAATGCTGTAAATTAAGACTAAAACACTTAAGCTTTTGTTAGCCATTGAAGTACAAAGCTCAGTTTTGTGTTAAATAATTTTGTCAGCATATCTGATAAAGCAACAATTACCTCCTGTCGACAGTTTGCCCTGAGATGATATCTGGCAGGAGGACAGCAAATATTAATGATGGTGATTTCTTTTTCTTAATAAATCCGTTTTTGCCCTTGTCCCAGTGTCTCTGAAAAGAAGCCAATCTTCAAGAGAAAGAACAGAGAAGAAAAATCGACTGCTCTGTCTGAAGAACAGTTTTCTGCAACGAATACCTTCAGTTCTTTGTGCTGACATACAGTAACTGCGTTTTAATTCACAGCCAATCTACCTGCAGAATTATTGGTTTGTTCCCCCTGCTGGAAAGAACAAATTTGTTTTGAAAACATTACAAGCTGTTTTTCACTGTATTCCTCCACAGGCTCGCAGAGCTCAGGCTTGCTCTGTTCTAGATATAACCCCCCTTTCTGAGCACAGCTGCACTGCTGTGAGTGCAGCTTCTGCTATACACATACTCTTGTTCCTACTTCTTCATTAACTCTGTCTCACTTCTTTAAATCAGTATGATAATTTTTCATAATCACATTTTCCTTTTTGTTAGTTGTTGCCAGCTCTCAAGTTACCTTTCGTCTTAGGA